AACAATGTAGTCGACTTGTCATCCTCTATTTTTTTATTCAAGATTTTTGTGATTTATTTATTTAGGTATTGATTTTATTATGAATTTAATGCATTAAATTACATTATCAATAATTTGATGATTATGTGAGTCTATTATGAATTGAGAGGTGAGTTTGAAATTTAGACCATATAGTAAAATCCGGTAAATTAGTATAACATGTAGAGATACATATACTAATTTTGCGGTCATAATATGAATTCTTAGAACTAGTGTTTCGTTTAACTAGAGTTGATTCACAAGAGATATGGAATTTAATTAGTTAAATAGGCTCAATGAGAACTCGAGAGGGGTAAAATGAATACAATAGAAGAATTTGATCGAACACTGTATTAGGTTATGAATCTTGAATTAAGAATTAAGGTGATCAATAGATGAAATTGTTATACCCTAATATTCATCACATTTTGAATTTTCAATCATCCATTGTTTGCAATCTTTTAATATTTTCAATTAGTTAAAAGTAGTTAGAAAAATAATCACAACCATGATAATTATTTACTTGCATTTGTTAAATAGGAGTTAGAAAAAATTAGATTAAGTCATAAAGCATAATCTTCGTGGGAACGATATTCGAATTCAAAGGTCCACTATAATGCTTGTTACGATATCGTACATTCGAGATATAAAAAAAGCAACAAGTTTTTGGTGCCGCTGCCTGGGATTATTTACTTTTAATCTTAGTTTATTTTATTTTTAACTGTTATTTGATTTGATTTGATTTTATTTTCTTTTATTACAAAAAAAAAAGTTCATTATATGCTCTATACCCAAGTGACGATCTTGAACCTTTTGACTCAAAAATAAAACATACTTTCAGACGAAATTGCAAGAAACACAAACAAAAACAACAATATCAAATAGCTAACGGTTAAAATATTCATATTCCTATTCAGCCAATTGGACAAGTGTCTGCAAGAGTAGCGGGGGCACCAGATTAGCAGCGGGGGCGCCAGATAAACGAATGAGACTTGTCAGTTTCAATGTTCTGACGCCCATAGCCACGCCTGCGTGTTTCAGTATTATGTATCCAGATTTAAGGGTAAATAATTTTTAGATAAGAGCAGAGTGGATCAATTTGATGAGCAACACTCTTCAATTCTACGGTCTACCTCATGAAAATCCAAACACCCATATCTCCAGATTTCTGGGAAGAACTTCCGTGCTTCGGAGGTTAATGAAGACATTATTGAGTTACGATTATTTCCATATACACTGAGAGAGGCTACATTGGAGTGGTTAGACCCCGAACCTCATGGAAGCATTACTTCATGGGAAGAACTGACCAGGAAATTCTCCAACAAATTCTTCCCACCGGTGAAAGTATCTAAAATCATATTGGAAATTCAAACTTTCCAACAGAAAGATGGAGAGAGCTATTAAGAGGCATGGAACAGATTTAAAGAACTGATGTGAAGGTGTCCAAATCATGGAATCACAATATGTAATCAAGTGCAGTACTTCTACACTAGACTCTCACCATTGTCAAAATCTCAGGTAGATTCCTCTGTTGGTGGATCGATCATAGAAAATTCAGTACAACTTATTTGAGTTAATTGCCACTACACATTCAATGTTTTCATTAGAAAGTGTGGTACCACCAAGGGCATCTGGGATGTATGAATTAGATAACACAGAATTTACAAACGTGCAGATAGCAGCCTTGACAAAGCAGATAGAGCTATTGGTGAAATCACAAATGAGAGGAGCACATGTAGTGATGGGTGGTCCATC